GGGTTACCCCCAAATCTATCCCTCGGCTTTTTTCCTCCCCCCATCCCTGCCCTTGGTCCAAACCAGCCATTCTTCTATGGAAGGCATCCATCTTTACACTTATATGGGTAGTGTGGAATGAGATCAATCACAAGATTTTCCTCAGCCAGTACTCCACTCTGCTGTTCTGTTAGACAAGATCAAATTACTGGTGAATTTTTGGGCCTCCAACCAGTAGATCTTCAAAGAAATTCACAATTCGGCCTTCCACCAAGATTGGCTACCACTCCTACACCTGTCTCACTCTAGGGTCATCAAGCCTCTTGCTGGAAGCCCCCTAATCCTGGTGCTATCAAATTGAATTTAGATGGGTGCTCCCTTGGCAACCCCAGACCTGCCAACATCAGCGGCCTTTTGAGGAACCATGAAGGTCATACCCTGCTTTCCGATCAGACACTTCAACTCCCAATCGGCTGAAGCCCATGCACTGCTCGAAGGCCTTAGACTCTGCAACTGTAGTTGGTCCTTTATCATCATCATTGAAGGTGACTCAAGCAATGTAATTCGATGGGTCTTTGCCTCCACCCTCTAATCCTGAGACCTAGTGTGTATGTTTGAAGAAATTCCCTACCTCTGCCTAGGCTTCTCAATATTTTGGAGACATGTTTGGCATGAATGCAATTCACATGTTCACTCACTTACAAAGAAAGTGCTAATACTCTAGTGAATGAGTAATTTTTTGCAGCCTCAGTCACTACTTTAGTCTGGTCGAATGCAATGCCATCTTCTCTGTTAAACCCTACGATATTTTGTACAGGGATCCCTCCTGGGAAGCCTAATTTTTTTAATGTATATTGGCCCTGTTTCCTTAGGATGATATTTTTGGATATTATAAAATGTTAAATTTTCTACAAAAGAGAAAAAGCCAGAAAAGAAAGGCTCATTGAGGTATCGGGAATGGGATTTGTACTTATAGTGGTTCCTTAATCCATATATACTCTAGTAACGAAGTTGATTTAAGGAATCATAGCTCTAAAAGTCTTCATTCTTTAAAATATTATCAGTGTTTCAACTGACCCATGTGTAGAACTTTGGGAGGTTAGGGCATAGGTTCCCCTAGTGGATTGAGTCTGGAAGCACACCCAAATTTGATATTAGCTAGTTTGCGAGATTCGTTTCACTTTGGAAAATTATCTTGAATTTCAAAGAGGTGGCAGAGCTAGACAATAAAATTCAAAGGAGATGGGTTGTATGGACACCACACTCGAAAAGTGTTTTAAACTTAATTTTGATGGAAGGTTGTCAAGGAATCCCGGTATTGCAGGTACAAAAAGATTAGTAAGAGACCACAAGGGTCATATTTTGTTATCCTACTCAAGACCACGTGGTGTGGTCACAGCTAATGAAGCTGAAGTTTGAGCCCTTTAGGAAGGGCTAAAGCTACTTTCTTAGAGCAAATAGACTAGATCCTTAAGATAAAGGACAAATATTACTAGGGACAGATTGAGAGTGTCAAAAAAGAGATACCTTCTACATATATGGCTGGTCACACGAAAGTGAAATACCCAACTAGAGTATCTTTTTGTCCTTTTTCTTTTTGATGATTAACGTTGCACCGAAATGAGAAACTAATTGCAGAAGTGAGGCATATCTAGGTTTAGTAGATTACCAAATGAACATGAATCACTGATGTTCCTGTTAGGAGGTGAGAGCACAGAACCACAAATGGAACTAGAACAGGAAATAAGATTATTATGTGGAGTCTATGTAAAACTTTGTGTAGGCAGTTACCAATACAACCAAATGCTTCATCAAGTTATTACTCTTCTGATAATTCTAATTGTCAAGCTCAAACAAGATGGATAGGCATCCAAGCTTGTGGATGTCAATTTTGTATTCCTTGTTCATATGTTACGTCTTATTCAAGATAGTGGCCATGACTTACAAAATGCACAAAAATCAACAATGTAATCTCTAAACATGAAGATGCAAGAGATGAAACAAGAAGCTCACTCTGGTATCCTTGGCAGGCAAATCTTCCAGGGCATCTTGAACCAATGATGGGGTGTACAGAGTGGGATAAATACTCTACTAAGTTGAATTCTAAGCATAAACCCTGAGAAGTCTTAAGTAATCATAATCTTATTCTTAGAAAATAAATTCTTACCGGCATACAAATGGTTCATCGAGGCATTTTCAGCCCACATGCAAGTCATAGTCAACAGTCATCCTAAATAAATTTATTTCCATGTTTCAAAGAATAATTTCTTGAAACAATATCTAGATTTATTTGACTGCAACTATATTCAACAAAGATAATTCCACATTTCTTTGTAGTGACATATCAAATCAAGTTGCTTTAAATATTTGGTTCACTAAGCCATAGATATTTTAGAGTCATTGTCAGTGAACAATTAGAAATAAAAAGCGCCAAATGCAATGAAGAAAAATCCAGATCAACATTTCCATGGCTTTAGATTAATCACCGATAATTGCAAAAACGGTACTTAATTCCAATAATATTTGTAACAAACTTAGCTACCCAAAATATATTTGGATTTGCAATCAAATTGGAGTGATGTTTTTAACATGGTTGTGTAACTGAAATAGCTAGGAAGGTGAGCAAGCTGATTTAACTAAAATAACTAAAAACCAAAGGTAAGCAAGCTGATTTACACTGATCGAAACAATAGCATAAAAGCAGTTATAATCCTGCAATTGCATCTTTGAAATGAAAGAAGACAAGCTGAAAGACAACCCAAACCAGCCCAACTAATGAAATCCAATAAAACAAACTGTGAATTGCCTAAATCCCAAGACCACTCACACTAAAGGCTTTAATTCAGCAAAAGAGAGGAAAACAGAGAGAATGGATGTCATCAAACCATGCTCGAAAATTACCAGAGTTGAGCCTCTATGCTTCCCAGGATAAGAGGGCTGTCTTATGGGGCACAAGATCGAATGCAAGGCCCAAGGAAAGACCTTCAATTATTGTAAATTGTTGACTTCTCACTTATGTTGATTTTTCTTGAAGGACGACATGTGTGTCTTATTGAAGTGATGAATCTGGCCTTGTCCCTGTGTCTTGAAATGAAGAATGTGTCGCTCAGCAAGACAAGGGCCTCAAGTCTATTGTGAGGCTCATCCTTCAAATTTTGCAGGTCCGCCTTCACCACCAGCTCCCAATTCCTCATCTCTCTATCTAAAACCCACATTTTCAGCTCTAAATCATGGTTTATATGGAAAACACAAACCCGGTCACCCCACATTTGGGTTCTCAAAAGGCATCCACAACTGTGGATACGGGGCCGTCCCGGTTCTCTGCAAGGATACGAGAGACCCTCTGGAGGTGGGATTGAATCCCATGATTTTGTGTTTAGGTCGAAAGCCCCTAAATTTGGACCGGAGCGAAATAAGCCATAGCAGGTGCTCCCGTACATGCGATTGGACTCTCGCCACAAGGACGCATGGGGTCTTCGACTGTTTCCCAGCACCTGGTAAGCGAGGAGAACAGGCACCATTGCCAAAAGAGGTCCCTTCGAGGTGAGCAACATATCAATATCTTGAAACTAAAGGAGTTGCGGGATTGCCAACGTAATACGATCGAGAGGTTCCGTCATAGAAGCAGATTAAGCCGTTGCAGGTTGCGAGGCCGTCCACTGAGGCATCATCAGGCAGATGGTTCAGAAGTTGGGGCTGAGTATCATTGGGGTCGACAGACAAACATCAGGGCCGAAGAGGGATGTAGCAGATTCTTCTATTGCGGACGAAAAGAGGAAAGGTTGGAGAGATTGGGGAAGAGGAGCGAGAGTGAGCAGTGGCGAAGGAACGAGAGGAGAGGGTTTCATTCCATGATTTGGAGATGACTTTGAAGTTGAGAATGGATTGAACGGGGAGTTGGGTGAGGATCTTGAGCATCAGTTCATCAGGGAGAGCGCAACAGAGAGAACCCATCTCCCCACCCTGTCCACCAAGCAAGCAAGCAGGAAGATCAAACTCTTTCTTTCTCTCTCTAGAAATCTTCAACCTCTTTCTCTCTCTACAAATCTTCTCTAACCTGTTGTGGCTCTTCAATGAAACCTACCCAACTGCTATATTTGAGCTCCACTCCCTTTCTCTCTCTCTTATTTGCTATTTCCCACATTTGGGGCCGCGAGAACCTCGGACTTGTAGTATTGCAGCTGGTCGGGTCTGTCTTGACACAGGCTCAAACCCCAATAGTATTTGGGTCTTCGTTTTGTAGTCAGATCGGACCCATCGGGTCTAAAAGAGCCTACCTGTACCTGACAGGTACCGGGTCTGATCGGGTGGATAGCCACACTCCCTACTAGTTTTTTTTAGCTTTAAAATTTTTTTTTACTGTCACGTACCTATATGAATGCCAACAAGGTTACAATCACCCGCGGCTAGATTTCAAGCAGTCCGATTTGTCATTTACGGGTTTGTATACGTGTCCGGTCCAAAATGGCATTAAATTAGGTTTTTAAATTTCTTTTCATATATATTTTTTGAGTTCCTCTCAGAAAGTTGATAAATAAACTGAGAAGTTAGAGAGAGAGATTGAGGAAAATCTCTGTGTATCGTTTGGAGCTTTGTTTCTTTGAGCACTTGTGTATTTGTAAGCTCTTTTGTCCTCCCTGCGTTTCTGAATTATATACTTAAATTTTAATGGCAATTATTTGAGGAATTCATAACATAAAGAAAAAAAAAAAAAAAGTTAGGAATTCATCTTTAGAATGGGAGGATTTTTAGTAGTCTGATTTTCCTTTTATATCAGTTTTTATTCGGTTTTCCATTGATCCAAATCTATCACATATAATTTTTGATGGATCAAAATTGGAGCGAGTCATCTATGAGATTGAAAACTGAGAATTTTACAGTCATTCTCATAGTAGATGCTATTGAATTTTTATGGGAATTATGTTAGGATTAATAATTGGAATTTTTATTAATCTGATTTCTTCTATATTGGTTTGTATTCGGTTTTGCATTGATCCAAATCTATGAGAGATAATTTTTGATGGATCAAAATTGGAGCAAGTCATGTGTGAGATTGAAAACTGAGAATTTAACAGTCGTTTTCATGCAGATGCTGTTGAATTTTTATGGGAATTGATAATTGGAATTGGGGAATGGATGGTACTCTAATTTTCCTTTTTGTATTGGATTTTATTTTTCCACTTTCGTTAAATGAGAAACCATCAAAATAAGTTTTTGATTGATGAAGGTTTGAGCAAGAAGTTTTTGATTGATGGAGATTCCAGCAAGAAATCTATCCAATTGAAAGGTGGGAATTTTATAGTTATTTTTGGTAGTAGATTTACTTCTTCTTTTGATGCACATCATTTTTTTTTTAATGGGAACAAATGCATGATAATTGTATTCTGCATGACCATTTTGAAAAGACTCAAAATGCATATCCCCAATAGTCAAGAAAATCGGCCTATTTTCCTTAGTAATTGTGTAGTTTGGGGGAAAAATATCTTACTTTGTTTGCCCTTTGGTGGGTTTCATTGCACAGCCACTGAGGAAAAGTTGAAGATTGATCGAGAGAGAAAGTTTGATTTTCCTGCTTGCTGGATAAGGGAGAGAGGTAACTCTGAGATGGGTTCTCTCTCTTGCACTCTCCCTGATGACCTGATGCTCAACATCCTCAGCCTACTCCCTATTCAATCCATTCTCAACTTCAAAGTCATCTCCAAATCATGGAATGACATCCTCTCCTCTCCTTCCTTTGCCACTGTTCACTCTTTCTCCCCTTCGCCGATCTTTCTAACTTTCACTCTCTTTGTCGACAATAAAAGTAAAAGAATCTTCTCCCTCCCTCCTCCGCCCCAATCTTTCTCTCTCTACCCTAATGATACTCGGCCCCAACTTCGGAAGCATCAGCCTGAGGATGTCTCAGTGAGAGACATGACAGCGTGCAATGGCTTAATCTGCTTCTATGACAAATTCTCTGGATAATATGTCAGCAATCCTACAACTTGTAAGTACACAGTGGTTCCTGCAGCTGTAAATTACTCTTACCTCGGAGTTTTCGGCCTCGGTTATGCATCTCTTGTCGTTTCAAGATATTAATGCAAGAGTGGTCACATAAAAATGGTTGTCATACGCGATGGAGCCTGTTCTCCTCACTTACCAGGTGCTGGGAAATAGTTGAAGACCCGAGGCTGAAGTTCGGTCGTCATGGACCAATGGCATGTACTGGGAGCACCTGCTATGGCTTATGAAGCTCCAGTCCGAATTTAATGGCTTTCGACCGAAACACAAAAACCTGGGATTCGATCCCACCACCGGGTGGTCTTTCATATCCATGCAGTAGACTGGAACACCGAATCTTGATTTGTCGGTGCCATTTGAGAGTCCAAATTTGGGGTGACAGGGTTTGTGTTTTCAATATAAGCCATGATTTGGAGCTGAAAATGTGGGTTTTAAATAGAGATATGAGGAATTGGGAGCTGGTCTTGAAGGCGGGCCTGCAAAATTTGAAGAAGTTTGGGTGTGGACTTTATCCCCTTATCTTGGTGGGTAACACATTCTTCATTTCAAGACACATAGCATTGGTCCCTCGGTGAAAAATCATCAGAGCATATAATGTAAGAAGTCGCCAATTTACAATAATTGAAGGTCTTTCCTTGCACATTGCATGCCTTCTTGTGCCCTATAAGTCCACCCTCTTATCCTGGGACACATAGAGGCTCAACTCTGGTAGTTTTCAAGCATGGTTTTGATGACATCCATTCTCTCGCTGTTTTCCATTCTCTTTTGCTGACTGAAAGCTTTTAATATGAGTGGTCTTGGGATTTTGGCAATTTGCAGTTTGTTTTTATTGGATTACATTAGCTGATACAATCTCAGTAGTTAGTGGTTGTCTTTTGGCTTGTCTTCTTTCATTTGAAAGACGCAATTGCAGGGTTTAAATTGCTTCTCTGCTATTGTTTCCATCATAGTAAATCAGCTTGCTTATCTTTGCTAGTTTACTTATTTTATTTGGATAATCTTGTTCACCTTTGATCACCTTTCTAGCTATTTTAGTTACAGAACCATGTGAAAAACATCACTCCAGTTGGATTGCATATCCAAATATTCTTTGTGTGTTTAAGTTGGTTACAAATTTTGTTAAATCTACACACAGCTTTTGTAACAATCGGTGGTTCACTTAATGCATGGAAATGTTGGGCTGAATTTTTTTTCCTTGCAGTTGGAAGTTTTTATTTCTAATTGTTCAATGACATTGGTGATAACTAGGATTAGTGCATGGATTTTGGCATCTGTTGAACTGAGCATATTGAGCAACTTGACTTGACATGTCTCGACAAAGAAATGTGGAATCATCTTGTTGAATATATTTTCAGTCAAATAAAACTAGATACTCAGTTGTTTAAAGAAATTATACTTTGAAACAAGGAAATAAATTTATTTAGGATGACTGTTGACCATGAGTAGCTTGCAGGCTGAAAATGCCTCGACGAACCATTTGGATTCCGTCAAGAATTTCTTTTCTAAGAATAAGAATAAGATTATTTAGACTTCTCAAGGATTTCTGTTTAGAATTCAACTTACTATTGCATTTATTCCGCTCTATACACCCTATCATTGGTTCAAGATGCCCTGGAAGATTTGCCTGCCAAGGATACTAGAGTGTGGTTCTTGTTTCATCTATTGCATCTACGTGTTTAGAGCTTGCATCACTGTCTCTTGTACCTTTTGTAAGTCATGGCTACGATCATGAATAAAATATAACATATGAAAAAGGGCCAAAAAATTGACGTGCACGGGCTTGGATTCCTACCAGTCTTTGTTGAGCTTGACATATGAATTTTAAGATGACCGATAACTTGATGAAGCATTTGGTTCTATTGGTACCTGTCTGCACAAAGTTTTACATTGACTCCACATGATAATTTCATTTCTTATTCTAGTTCCATCTGCAGTTGTAGGCTCTCATCTCTTAACAGGAGCAACAGTGGTTCAAGTTCATTTGGCAATCCATAAAACCCAAATATACCTCACTTCTGCAATTAGTTTCTCAATTTGGTGCAACATTAATTATCAAAAAAGAAAAAGGACAACAAAAATCCTTTAGTTGGGTATTTTCACTTTTACATAAAACAATCCTCTAGTTGACTAATATGTGTAGAAATTAGTCTCTTTTCTGGCACTCTGAGTCTCTCTATCTCTAGTAATACTCGTCTTTTAACTGAAGGATCTAGTTTATTTACTCTAAAAAAGGTAGGATTTGAGCAGTTAACACTTTGTTTTTTGCTTTTTTTCTGGAGTAGTTCAGCAGTAGGAATCAAACTTGAGATGTAGCACTGTTGACATCCTAAGGACTCTACCCGAAGCCCGATTTCTGGGTAGTTAACACTTTTGATATTAGAATGCTGATGTTTTATATGGTCTGTATTTTAAAGCACTTTCTGGATATCATAATGGTAGACCAATTGGTACAAATATTAGTGGTATGACTTCTTACTAGTTTACATAGCCTAAATCATAGGAACTGATTTGGAGAGGTAGCAGAACAGGAAGATTATGTAGACATGTATCCATTGGGTATAAAGGTTCTTGTATTTCTGTGAATTGGGGTATATATAGAATTATGTTGACCATTTTTCTTGGATGGTACACCTACGGGATATTTTCATATTTGGTAGCGCAGACTTGTACATATGAGTTTACACTTTTCATGTGTCATGTATGATTATCTGTTTATCACACTCTTAACATGGTACAACTGCTATTTAAAAATTACATGGTACAATTGCAAGGCTTGGACTAGCAATTGTTAGTTTTTTCTCATATATCTCATTAATAGAAATCATTAGAAAACTAAAGGAGATGGAAAAAATACGTAAAATATGGACTGTTGAAACTTTTTGTTTTATACCTTGAATATTTCAGAAAAAGAAAAAAGAAATAAAAAGATGAACAATCACACGTCATCCTAAAAACTATCAAAATCATCTAAAAATATTTCTAAGCAATATGTTGGTCATTTCTATGTTTTTAGATTTTGTAACATTTTTTTATAATTTTTTTTTATGAGGGGCGAGTTGGGGAGGGTGCCTCCAACTTACTTTGCCAGGGAGTGACTCGGCCGAGTCCGAATGGAGGCCAAGTCGGAACACTATTGTACACTATATATCTATAATAAATTGTATGATATTCTAAAATAAATATTAAGACGATGCTACTGTACACAAATTTTTGAAATATCTTGGCAGCAGTGTTTTGAAGCTTGATGTTTCAACTTGGAACTTGCTGAGTCAAATCAACTCAGGAGCCAGGACTGAACTGAGAAAGGCTATTCCCTGCTATTTTAACCATTGACGTGTTTTGAGACTCGGCCAAGTCTAATTGTTAGAACTCAGCTTGATAGCCTGACATGCTCCAAACTGAGTCATAACGGCGTGGTGTGTAATGAGCTGAGTTGGACTATAAATAAGTAGCTTTCGGTACAACTGGTGTACTAAATATGCTATATTGTGAGATGTGTGTATCTACTATTTTTTGAGAAATGTATTAATGTATATTATGGTTAGAAACTTCTCCATATTTGTGTCCTAGTTGCAGAAATGCCTAATTCCTCAATTGTACATTCCACATTTCTTTGTATCATGTATAGAGCACCGGGTCTGTGGTCTGCCATTTTTTTGCTAAATATGTGTTCTTTATAATACTTATATAAGTTAAGCTTCCCCCGAAAAAATAAAATAAAAAATCTTAGTTCTTTATAAATTGACGGTTTGTGTCATATTCTATCCCTCAAAAGCTGAATTTGCCAAAGCTTTGGGGGGTTTACTGTTCTAGAAGATGAAGTACATGTGACCAAAATGCAACAGCAATTATCTCTTGTTACAGTTAGAAGTTAGTGCACTTGCAAATTGGATCTTTAAATTCACATATCACATATTGGAAGGGCATTTTATCAATGGGATGTGTCCATTGTTCGTGATCTAATTCAAACTTGGGCATTTTTTGTTGAAATGGTGGGAAAAAATTCAGGAAGTTGTTGATGATTCTTTGCATTGTGTGAATGGGGAGCACCGCGCCAGATGGAAATCCACATAAAAGTATACTCTACTTTTTTTTCCCCATATTTGTAGCACTTGACATAATTTTTGTTCCTTTTGGTTTGATATTGTGGTAGCTTAATGCCTTTTTGGCAATTGGATTTTGGTTTGATGGTTCTTGGTTGTTTCTTTCCAATTGTTTGAACTTTATCTAAAAGAAATTTTTGGATCTTGTGGTTTTCCTTGTATTTGGGTTTTCTGATTCTTCTTGTTCAACTAATATTTTGGATTGACCTTGAGGAGTTCTTCCTTTTGATCCAAATAGAGGACTGCAAAAGTCCATAGAGATGATGTCTTCTTTCCCTTCCCTCTTCTTTGTTATGATCTGGTATTGTGGCTTCTCTTTGTGACTGCGTTTTCACTTTAATCAACCAATTAGCCTGGACAACCTTCATAGCTTCCTTGGCTGCAAATTTTAGTGTTTGCATAACATTTATAGCAGGTAGATTTTCCAACCTTTTTTCTCCTATTTTCCACTGCTGATGTTGAATAGTTTCTCTGCATCTTTTGATAAGGCATCACTGCACTTATGGCACTAATGGTGCCATAATGCATCGCTAAACTGCTGTATCCAGCCCTGTGAGTGCCGTGACAAGGTCATCACAGCACTAACCATGGTGTGATCCCTCGGGAGCACTGACATGTGCTTGAACCATCATGGCTTTAATAGAATTGTTGATGGTCTTTCAGGACCGAAAGGATCAAGATGCCATGACATCGAGGACCTCGGACTATCATGGTTTTAATAGAAGCGTGAAGGGTACGTAGGACCAGGTTTCCTCAAAGAACTCACATCAAAGTTGATAATAGTAATAGAATCCAATGGAGCGCTGGACCACCTAGCCTGGTTCTCTTGAAGAAGAGCTTTTTTATACCTTTTTCTTTCTAATCATTGGTAAAAAAAATGCCTTTTGGATTAAGTTATGCGGGGTTCCGATTCACTTATTGAGTTCGAGGGTTTTTCAATATTTGGGGAATATGTGTGGAGATTTTTTGAGGAACAATGGCTTTTAGAGGTTATGATCTTTCCTTTGTTAGAGTTAAGGTTAATCGGAATTTACATTCACCTAAGCCACACAAAATCCGTCTGAACGTGAATTCAAAAGATTTTTTTGGTAGATGTGACCATTGAAGGTATTTCTTTGGATAGAACGGAAAACCATTAGCAGAACCTTATAGATCAGCCTCCATTAGGAAGATCAATGAACTGAAGTGCGTAGCAAAAGGAAGTACATTAGTTATCATTCTCATGCTCGTCAATATCCCAGAGACGCTCATGGTGTATCAATGGTCGATTTTTCGAGGTATGGTGTGAAGAATCACGTGGGGACACGTGCAGTCGATCTCTGGTCGATCAGAGATTTAAGCCATCGGTTACAAATTCGAAAATTCAAAAGGTTTGGATCTCCAAAAATAGGAAAGTGGATAATTCAAAGAATGGTAAAACCGTCTCTTATGAAATGGGGGATCATAGTGGTGGGAATATTTCCAAGGATGTGTAGGGAAGTTCTTGTCTTGTGGACGGTGGGGGTCAGCATGGAATTAAGCTTATTGATAAGGGGGAAGGGAACGGTGGTGGAGAGTTCGAAA